GCCGGACATGGCATGGGATGTTCACTGATTAAGCTGGTGAATGAGAATTGAGGCTCGACCTACTTCCCCATGACGACTGGGAATTCATCGATTCCCTTATGAATAAAGTGAGGTCAAAAAGTTACTCTTCGCAAATGGAATCTATGAATTGTTTGAATGAAAAAATAATCCCCATAGTTTTTTGCACAACTTTTAAATCGCCAAATGATCTTTCTATTTGGAGTTTGCGTTGATCTATGTTGCCATCATGAAAGCAAAACTGTTTCTATCTGAAATTAGGCTGCGTTCTTGTCACAAGTTTAGACACATATATGAATTAAATATTATTTATATACAGTATGGGTACTACACCACCCCACTCTTCTCATCTATAGAAGGCTTATATGCCTATATCATTGATATACTATCCTTCTTGTCTTCATAGTCACCATCATCGCCTTCATCATCATCGTCGTCATTTCATCGCCATCATCATCATGAAACACCATTATCATTATCATCATGATTATATCATCATCATCATCATCCGTTATTCGACCAGGCCTATAGTATTATTTTTGTTGACGTCGGGAGCTAATGTTCAATCACAAGTTGATGACGTTAGGAGCTCACGTTAAATGATATTAAACTTGACGTAGATGTCCAATCATGTAATATCATTATATTACCTTGTCTTATTTCGATTTTCATGGATAGGCCTACCCTCGGGCTCGTTACGGTCCCAGCATCAGATCCAAAGCCGAATGCATCTCTCTCTGTCTTTTCAAAGGACGGCCACATGTCCTGACGGTCTAGTAAAGTACACATTAGTATGCACTTTGCCGTTTTAACGTCATGATATTGCTTGGGTCGGCTAACCAAAATGACGAGGTCAATTGAATTACTATTCGCCGCAATACGTAACAGACTGACGCTAATCTGTTTCCTGATTAAGTAATACCCTTATTAATTTATTGGCTTATGCATTAATTCAATTGCTTGTCCCTGTATTAATTTCTGCACACCATGATTCCAGTACAATACGTCAAATAGACAAAATCGTAATTAAATGTCAACCTGATGAACATCACGTGACGTCATTGTTTTTATCTGTTATTCAACTTGAACTCGAAGAATACGTTGGACAATAACAACTAAATAAATTAGTGTAGGATTTATAGTCCTTTTTTTTAAATTTCCTTATTTCGTATTCAAGTACATATGCAGATATAAACATATAAAACACGAATGATAAATATCGGTATCTCATATCAAGGCGGTATAAAAATAACCTCCTTGCTCATATATTGCCAAACAATATGTTTTCTTGGAGATTGGTGATTGCAAAAGCTATACCGAGGCCATTCCGTATCAAGGATCTAATTAAAAAGCGTACTGTGGATGTTTGAAAATAGTAGGCCTAAAGCAAATTTTCTTTATTAAAGTTCTTCCATTGCTGCAGATAAAGCGAGAAAAGGAAGAAGGAGGTGGTGGAGGGGGTGGGGGGTCACGATGCGGTGGAGGGCGGTTGGGGGTCACGATGCCACATTACATGATCATAGGTGGAAGCCTTCAACAGCAGAGCAGTTTTGAGACCACCGATATTGATTGACGCTGTCAATGATTCGTGCATTGCATTTGCCGATGTTATCGAAACATTTTTTTTTTACTATGCACGTTTTATCAATTATTATTGGAGATATGCATTAAGTACTTCCATACTAGTTGACATTCGCACAGACAGTTGTATTAAATCTTAATCTTCTTATTTGGAAATGTCGATTCCATGTCAATTATATTTCAATTTCATTATCCCCAGCTCGATTCTTGTCAGAAACATAATGTTTCATCGTCAAAAAAACCGACTAATATCGATGCGAAGTATAAACCATGTAACTTTATCTTGAGTGAGCACGTGATGTCAGTTGTCGCCGCGGTGTGGGTGCCTTTGACGAGACGCGTACCGTTGTCGGCGGAGGATTTTCCCAGCACGTCAATCTTACCGTCTGCTTTGACAGTAGAACGTGATTTTAGAGACTTAAAGTTGAACTTCAATAATGATGTCACTAAACACATTTATTCTATTAAGTGAAAGTTCTTTTGATGCGGGTAAAACATTCTAAATGCGAGGAATAGACAAAATAAGATACATTGGGATTTACAAAATTACATGATAATGACGATTAGCGACTTGCGGATTCTGAACGATACGAAATATGAGATGACACGAACAAAAGGAAATGAACAAGTGTGAATGTGGCTCCTCCTAGCTCCTAGCACAGGATTACATCTTACCGTCTCTTTTGCTACGCTTTTGCTAAGTACGTATTTATAAAGAAGTTTTGTACACCAAACTCTAACTTTATTTTAACGTCAAAAGGTTAGCAGTGTATATAGGCTGGAGGATATGGCCGTCAATCGCAATGTATACGGTCTATACGTTCTGTAATTGTCATCATTCTAACATCAATCTACTATTTATATTTATATTTAAATGGAAAAGAGGCATAGGCTTATATTATTATTTTTCGCAAACCTGATAATCTGAAGATGATGTTTATTGAGTATATAATAAGAGAAATGAGAATACAGTTAATTTTAAGGAAATTAGCAATGTTTTTACAATGTATTAATCAAATATGCATGTACAAACCGGAATCATTTAACCACATAGCAATGATGCATCGGCATCCAATACAGACTTAATATGATTTTTAATTCACTTTAGATTTTCTATGAATTTCATTGGCAAGATCGTATTACCTAATTATAATTCCGTGAGCGCCCTCTATAGGTTTAGTTAGTTTTAACACAACAATCCACTATTGCCATAAATTATTTCTTAAGCATGCTCGGAGAAAAAAATACAATACAATATGTATTTAATATGATAATTTTAAATTTAAATTATGAGCTTTAAAAATAGAGCAAAATATATTAAAGCCAGGCTTCTGAGAAAAGAAATGGATATGTTGTATAACTGATTTTTCTAAGACAAACTTTGACGAAAAACTCGGGAGCGGTTAATGAGATGCAAATTTAAGAATATTTAAGAACTGGGGGGAAGGTTTTTAAGTTAAAAAATCTGTTTTCGCCAAATATGTTATTTTTTTTTTTTTTTTTGTAGGGAAATCAATTGTACAACCATGAAAAATAGTTTTTCCTCGGGAGTCTGACTTTAACTTGTGATTCTGTTTGCAGCTTACTCGACCTGGAATGAAAACGGGGTGAACATATGTAGCTAAACACAATTAAATGCCGTAGCCATCTATTGGGACAATTGGGACAGTCCCACACAACTTTCCTATGTGGGTCCACAAAGAATTGGTCCAGATTTTTATAAATGGGTCCAAATTATGCCATTTTATACATAATATAAGAAAATTGGTCCAGATTTTTCATATTTTTGCGTAAAATGGGTCTTTAGTCTTTAGTTTAATGAATCCAAGTCAGACACGAGATGTACATTGTCCAACGGCTGATTTTATTTAACCATTAGGCCTATATAAATTACGTCTATGTATTTACATGTCCATCCAAACCGACAACAAATTTGGTGTGCGAAGGTGTGCAGGGAATCGTCAACAGTTTTTTTGTTTTGTTTTTTGTTTTTTTGTATAGCTTTTGACCAACCTATATTGCAGTGGCGTATCTAGCGGAAGTGCAGCCAGTGCAAAAGCACCGGGGCCCAATGGCTATTAAGGACCCATTCATAAATAGACCTAAAAATTATAATTTAAAAAAAATGTCCATCTTTTTTAAAGAATAAAACGACCAGCGGGCCCCTCAATAATATTCGGTCTTTAGAGGAGTGGGCCTAATTGTTGATTACTGCGTTGATTTCAAATCAGTGGTGTATTCAAGGGTGACCCAGCCGGCCCGATCCCCCACCCCTATTTTTTCAAAATTATAAAAGAAATGGGGGAAAAGGAAATTAGGCCTATATTAAAATTTAACTCTGAGAATGCCATTTTCGGCCACCTAGAGGTGCTATAATCATAAATTTTCTTGCCTGGGCCCTAACCATGGTGGGACTGAGGTGGTCTTCTCCCTGGCCCCTCTTATTCGAATTCCCTGACCTGCCACTACAAGTGTTACCACTTTTTGTGCCAACAATTTTTCTGATTAGTTTAGAACAGCTGCTGAGACAGTATATGCTCCTCTTAAAATAGATGCGAATCCGATTATCATTAGTATTTATTACTAGCCTTTGCGGATAGTTGGGGTGGGTAAAAGAGACACTTCTTACGGTGTATTTTCTGAGAACTTAGTAGGGAATTCCCCTATCACATCAAAGGGCCCGGCAATTAATATTGCACTGGGGCCCTTTCGCACCTAGCTACGCCGCTACTATATTGTACGACTCAAAGACACCATGGTGGTAAATTAAGGAGGAAAAATAACTTCATCGGTAGGAGCCAGTAATTTGAGGAAAAAGTACAGTACCAATATCTTAGTTGTTAGTTGTTACAATCGCGTCTGCAGTGATATATTTTAATAAGTAATTAGAAGAAAATCAATGATCGTAATAAGATATTTGTAAGGAAACCCGATATGTGCATTCATTTTAACACAGATCCTGGTTTTAAGTTTATAATAAGTAATTTAAATACAAGTGATGATTCATTCAGACGCAAGCTTCATTTGTGTTGACAACTTTCTTGATGTGCATAAATATATTTTGCAGTGACTAAGATCTTATTATTGGTTCAAAAAGGAAGCAGTAAATTTCAATAACTAAATCGTCGTTATCTGTAGAGACCTACTTGGAATAGTTTTTCATTGCAGCTGTAGTCATAATATGGTATACTAGTAATATATGGTAGTAATTTCGACAATATAAACATAGGCCTATAGATACTGTAGTAGTACTGTAATATACCGTCAAGTCAACGCCTAGTCATCAGACTCGACCCTATCCCTTTGCCCATAGTTTTGATAACGTCACACGTGACGTTTAAGAAGCATTGGCCAATCAGACATTGACCTTTAATGATCTGATGCATGACGGGAAGGGATTCATAAATGCATATGCATGAGTGATGCGATCGCGCAAATATTAGCAACAATTTCTGTGGAAACTGTCCGTTTCCGTCAATTATTTTCTTAGTTTTTAGGCGATTTTCTCACTTGAAGTCATTATTAAGAATCAAAGAAGATTTTGAAAAACTTCAAGATGGATAGTATGTCAGAATTAGGTGAGTAAACAATAAAATGCGTAGTGCAGTTCGATCTATACTGAGCATGTCGATTATTCTAGCTAAGCCAGGAACGAGGTCGTTGTACGACTGGGCTCTCTTGGCGGCGGCGAAAAGAAGGGTCATCTGAGGTGACAAAACGATACAAGAATATGCTTTATTTGTGAATATACTGATCGGAGAAAAGATTGGGTTCTGTGTTCAACTGTTGCCCTGCTTCCTTTGTTGAACTCTAATTCTATGATGATATATTTTATGTTAATTTTTCATCTTAAGATGGCATGAGCATTTTTTATTACAGTATAAACAAAACTTAAACATGGAAGCAAGGCCTATCGTCGGTTGGATGGTTGGTAGGCTACTACTAGGGTTAGGCCTAGGCTAGGGTAGTAAGTCTGCAACCTCAATTCATAAATCCTGCTATGGATGCTAAATAACTAGTGGCCTGGGCAGCTTGGCTGCGCTAATGAACTTTTGCACCTAACTTTTAATTCTTAATTAATATTTTACCTTAATGTTTTTCTCAGTCATAGTCATTACATTATAAAATATGTTTACATGATTCAACCACTCACAAAGTACCTTTTTCAACATAAAAAGACATAAATATAGCGCTTTGTGTGCTTGCTTGCTGCTGCCATTTGGCAATCGTAATAAATTGCCAGAATGTCTTGAGTTTTCTAAAAAATAGGGTGCACAGTTTTATGTATTTAAACGCTATGAAAACAGATTTATTTGCGTTCGTATGTCATTTCAGCTTTGCTAGTTATAATATGGTGGTGTTGTTTGATTATGACGTGGGTTCACATAAAAATTACGCCGTGGCTAGAGATACGGTACCGTATCAGAACTTCCGATTGCTAAAGGTACGGTAAATGATATTACGTCATGATTAGCCAATAGAAACGCCGATACATGCGTGACGTCATTCAGTGCACTGCTGCTGCAAGAGTAATGAGTATGTGTTTTAGCAACGATCGAAGATTCGTTCGTTCGCGGGTGTTGTTGATAAGCTGTGATTAATATTCTGTAGCCTGATTCCCTATAGCAAGTAAAAAGGATAGAAGTTTTGCTAGATTTGGCGACATCAAGCGAGAATAAACTATTTTAATAGTAGAAGCCAGGCCTAGGCCTTAGCTACTCCTGAAACCTCCTAAGCCTAGCCTAGTAAGTATACGCCTATAAGTATGCCCCTAGGCGGGTATTCGAGCTAGGCCTAAGCCTAGCCTTAGTAGACCATTCTCTATGGTAGACCATAAAATACGCAAGAATAACAGAAAGGATTTTTAACCCAAACATTGTGATAAGCCCCAATCGAAAAATACATGTAATGGGCCTGAAGTTTTATGACATAAATCTGATCATAACTGTTCGCGCCACGTTTCTCATGATCGCGACGTCGACCTTGCAAAAAAGCCAAAATCGAGTCGGTCATTTCTTTTGGCTAATCATGACGTAATATCATTTACCGTACCTTTAGCATTCGGAAGTTCTGATACGATACCGTATCTCTAGCCATGGCGTAAAAATTACATGTACAGAACTTACTAAATGAAAATTGTAATGCCTAATGGTTCAAATGCAACATAGATAAAAATATTTAATTTAATAGCATAATCCAGCAGAACAACCACCAGAGCCTAAGGCTAAATTAGTAATATGGCGGATCAACGAACCTTGATTACAAGAACCTAAGCGTTAAACAGGACACTGTAATGTTTCCATGGTTATACCCAACATGCGTCATGTGACCTAACAAACATACATAATTGGTCTATTGTATGCTCTGCTACTGTTTTGTTTTATGTCACCTGAATCACAGATCATAAACTTGGTTAAAAAAATTAAAGCACCACCCTAAGGCTTAGTATACAGATTAAAACCATTTAAGACTTCTGATTAATTATTATTTAATTAATCATTATTATTAACAATATTATTAAAATATTGATATTCCTAACCAGGAAGACTAACTGTAGTAACTGAATTAAAAATATTGTAATGAGGAACGTATAGTTTAAAATCAAAATTGTGTTTGCTGCACTTCAGCGGTAGAGTTTAACAGGTAACTAGGCCTAGCCTAGATTGAGGTGTTAGATTGAGGGTGCCATTGAAGAAGATGCTTAAGGTGCATTATTTGATTCGCTGAATCTACGGCAGCTATCTTGTACACTTATACACAGCTCTGCGTTTTTGGAACATCAAATACATTAGAGTGCTCTAGTATTCTTAGAACTCTGGGCGGTGTAGCCACTGTGTACAGTATATGCTGAACCATGGAGAATCCTGATTCAGTTCCATCGGCTGCTCTCCTTGTATTTCAACTAGAGGGATGAAATACCAGTTACTATAAGCGCACCATCTTCTGATGAGATAATTAAGCCATTGGTCCCATGTGCAGTGGCCCATGTGTACAGTACACTCTTCGCAAAAGACTAGGGGATTGTTTCCCGGGTATAAAGTCTTCAGACCTAATGGTGTCTTTGGTGTGATTAACACCAAAAATACTCCTGCTATCCATTTTAGTATCATCAACCTATATAATATCTAACTTAATAGGATTTGACCGTAAATTGACCCTAGAATTTTGAGTTTAATTACCACCATTTTTCATTTATCACCGCTGTTGGGATGGGACTCATTGAAGTAAAATGTTTGACTGCTGAATATAAACAGACGTGATGTAGTGTAACATATATTTTTGGAGAAATAATTAAATATTTAACAGAAGAACCCCATCTAAAAGATAAAGGTGATTCTACTATAGTATACAGTGCAATCCTAGAAATAATGGAAAATTGAATAGATGCTGTGTGAACAAATGCATGAACAAATTTCTTGTTACCTTGGTGCCTTAGAACCAAAACACAGTTTCAGAATCATAATTTAAGTACAAATTAGGATGTTTAAAATTACTTCATTCCACATAAATGAACAAAAAGTATTCCTTCCAGGCAAAAGATGTAGCAAATCCTCATTTACAACTATTTAAAAAAAACAGTGAATGATTTTAGCACATACATTAGTCTAAAAAAGTCCTTTTTACTGAAAAAGCTAAAGGAATCATTAACAGAAGACCCATAATGTTCAGTATTGACCACTGACAGAAAGTGCTAATGCTGAAAAGTGCTCGCACCTTGGTGCTAGTAATTTGAGTGAAATTGTATGGATATTATGGCTGATTAGCCTCTCTACAGTAGCTTTGTTCCAATTTTTCATTATAAATACAAATGCAACTTTTTTTTTAGAAACCATTTGTTTATGTGAACTTTGAAATCTATTTGGTCAAATAGTAGATTTCTTTTTGTAGTGATAGGATATGAGTTTTAATAATTAACATAATTTGTAAATACAGAGGGATACTACTATAGGAAGTTCACCGAGAAATGCTAGGCTCCCAATCAAACAAGCTTAGTGCCACTCCAGACTTTTATATGATATCCCAAGAGGGCTGAAAGCATTGCGACTTGGAATATATTGATGCTCTTAAATCTAATAAGGTATAACAATGCTCACATATATTATGTTAATGATACTGTACTATATTAACATGCTAGACATGGTTTGTGTACAATTTTTGATTACAATTAATGTGTTTAAAATATGTTTGATCAATATTAATATTAATAATCTGAATTTCATGTACAGTAACAATACATTATTAATGTCACTAATTAAAAAAATGCTGTTCATTCGTAAAATTATATTTTCTATGCATCTTCATAAAATGTTATTTAATAAGAACCTTTTTTGTGGTTCATATTATATTTCACATGGTTAAATATTTTTTGGGCAATTATACAAAATATGCAATCACAATTGCACAGATTAAACTGGATAATTCTGAAAACATTAAAATCACTTTAAATGAAAAAATATTGGAGTCTACTGATATACTAAATTGTAGATTTAGTATTTGATTATATGATATAAGAATTCATATAAATTCTAAATTAAATAATGTGGTTTTTTATATTTGTGTGTTTTTAAGTATCTAAGATTCAAATAATACATTATTCTGGTCAGAAATATTTACTGTAACTGATATCAGAAGCCTAAAACATTTTGTTTTTTTTATTTAATAAGTTATTTTTTCTATCATTTTTTTTATAATTTTCATTTTCATTGTCTTAAACTTTATATTGAAATCATTTTTTAAAGACGTACTTTGTTGATTAAACTTCCTATTGTTAATTGTACTTCCTATTTTCATAGCTTAAGTAGACCTAAAAGGTATTAATTACAGTAAATGCTTTGTTGTGTTAAATAACATCATTATCAACATCTTGATAGGTGTTAACATTTACATTCCATGTTTTGCAGTTAACTGACAGTAGGTTTTAGTAGGTTAGTTTGTTTTATTCTGGATTTATATATAGTGTCTCATATAGAGACATGGGGAGATTTATATAATCAATTTTTCAACCTGTAGGCCTATAGGCTGCATAGACCAAATGATTACTAAAACTGTACTTTGTAGATGTACTTGCAATTTTCATTCAAGAATTCAAAAGGAAATATCAATTCCCTGTTTTTGAAGTGTGATGTTGAAGATCATGTTGAAATTAATTAAGCATGTAATAAGGATTTGAAGGAATTCTTCTTGTCTTTGTTTTGAATCCTCAGTTAATGCACTCTTTGCACTTGGTCTAATTTACCCTGTTCTTTATTTTCTTGTGTATCTTTATTTTTACATTTTATAAGTTATGATTTTTAATTGTATCACAGTAAATTATACATTCTATAAATAGACATCATTCATTTGCTGTCCAAGCTCTTTGATATATAATAGTTTGAATATCTGAGCACTTTATAATGAGATTTTTATTTTTCCAATTTGAAAATAAACATATTTAATTTTTTTCTTCAATATTTTGACCACATTATTTTCTCCACTATTGCTAACTCGGACTTATCTGCATTTCTCTTTCTAGTGTTTATCAAAACAATAGACAACTCTTTGTACATCTGTTCTTATATAAATCAATGCGATGAAGAAA